AAACCAACTGAGCAAAGAGACTGAGGCAACATGTACAGGGCCTACATCAGGTCCTCTATGAATATATAATGACTTCCAGGTTAAATGTTTTTATGGAATTACTACTGTGCAAAGTAGTGGTTCTCTGATTCTTGTGCCTTCTCTTGGGCTCTTTTCCTTCTGTTGAGTTGCCTTGATCAGACTCAATGTGGTTGCTTTTGTTTTATCTTGCATTTTACACTGTTATTAAAGAATTAATGAATGAATAAAACCTAGACACTATAATACCTACAGGGATTAATAACTACTCCAGGAGAGGCCTAATGTTTAGCAGTAGTTGAACAATGAATAATGGATTCTGGGCAGTGGTGGCACATGCCTTTAATTCCAGTACTTGGGAGGCAGAGGCAGGTGGATCTCTGGGAGTTCAAGGCTGGCATGGTCTACAAGGTTCGTTCCAGGAACAAAAAAAATAGATTCCACAGTTTTTTGTGTGCTTTTATTTAGCTAAAGTTTGAAGTTTGTTTTTGTACTTTGTTTCCTGGGTTTGTTGTTATACTTCCTTCCTTTTGTTTGGGAAAGAACTTAAAATTTGGGTGGATAAACAGGGAGGAAGAAATGATCTGGAAAGACTTGGGTAGAATCAAATTATAATTAAACTTAAGTTGTTTTAAATAATTAAAAATTTTAAATCATATTTAAGACATATGAAATTCTGCCTTAATAGTCATATATTTAGAAATAACTATTGGTGTCAATCAAGTCAGTATATTCATTATCTCACAGTCTTTTAGTTTGAGTGCCTAAATGTTATATTATCCAAAATCTCTCTCTCTCTCTCTCTCTCTCTCTCTCTCTCTCTCTCTCTCTCTCTCTCTCTCTCTCTCCCTCTCCGTCTGTTTTGAGACAAGAGTTCCTGGCTGTCCTGGAACTCACTCTGTACACCAAGATAGCTTTAAATCCAGATATCTGCCTGTCCCTATCTCCCAAGTTCTAGGATTAAATGTGTGTGCCACCACCACCAGCTTATTATCTACTTGGTACTATATACTTATATGTTACTGTTATAACTGTTATGCTGTGTATTTTTATTTAATGTTTCATATGTATCTGTGATATTATATATATAAAATTTAAAGAAATAATGAATAAAGTCCTTTGCTCTGTTAAAAAAAAGAAAGGAACCTAAATGTTTAATGAAGGAAATATAAAATATTTTATCTGAACAAAAAACTTGGCAGCATCTCTATAGTTGTTCCTTGCTGTCAGTTTCAGTAATTCTTCTGAGACCATCTCCTTTTGTTTGACTGGTGAACCACTATCTACTAGGGACCTTAGAAGTGCCACACTTGTCTGGAACCTAGGTAGTCTAACTGTGCACACCGTACCCTCTTTCATTCTGGTTTCTGGAGAGTACTCTTAGACTTTCTGCTACCTGCCCATCTCAGCTCCTCCTCAACCTCTACCTCTTCCATCTTCTTTGTACTCATTCACATCCTTAATAGTGTAATCCTAGTCCTTTTTCTGACTTAAAGACCTTGAAGGAACTCCAGGATTGGTTGTCACTGGAGGTCCGATAGCTTATCACCCAACCCCATCACTACAACAACTTGGACATGGTTGGGGTCTAAACCCCAACTCTAATCAGGTTTCAGAACTGAGCTGTGAAAACTGAGATCCAAGCATCATTCTTCTGGCCAATCAACTGTCAGATTGGTGTAATAGATTCAACAAAGCTCTATTCCAATAAACAACATAACTACAGATAAGCAGAGTCAGTGTAAACACAACATGAATAACAAAGACAATATGGCTTCACCTAGAACATAGCAACACTACTGTTTGGGTCTGAAAAAGTAATTTATTGGAAGCACATATATATTTGTTTATTGGTAGACATATTGGAAGCACTAGGACTTCAAAATAGCATTTATAAACATGATAAAAAAAGTTGAATGAAATAAAAATTCAAGACATGAAAATATAGATGAAGAAAAAATAGAACTGGTAAAGAAAAGGTGAACCAAAATAAAGTTCAAAATCAAAATCTTACCATGTAAGCTCAGAGGGTAAGACACATCAGTAGCATAAAAGAAAAAAACAAAGACTTTCAGGGCTTGAGATAATCTAACCAAGGAAGTGAAAGATCTATTTGACAAGAACTTTAAGGCATTGAAGAAAGAAATTGAAGAGGATACCAGAAAATGGAAGGATCTCCCTTGCTCTTGGATTGGGAGGATCAACATAGTAAAAATGGCAATTTTACCAGAGGGAATTTATAGATTTAATGCAATCCCCATCAAGGTCGCATAAAAATTCTTCAAAGATCTGGAGAGGACAATAATCAACTTTATATGGAAAAGCAAAAAACCCAGGATAGACAAAACAATCTAATACAATAAAGGAACTTCTGGAGGCATTACCATCCCTGACATCAAACTCTATTACAGAGCTATGGTATTGAAAACAGCTTGGTATTGGCATAAAAACAGAGAAGTCGACCAATGGAATCAAATAGAGGACTGGATTTTAACCCTCAATCTTATGAACACCTGATTTTCCATAAAGGAGCTAAAAGTATACAATGGAAGAAAGAAAGCATCTTCAACAAATCCAGGTGCTGGCATAACTGGATGTCAACCTGTAGAAGAATGAAAATAGACCCCTATCTATCACCATGCACAAAACTCAAGTCCAAATGGATTGAAGACCTCAATATCAATCTGTACACACTGAACCTGATAGAAGAGAAAGTGGGAAGTACTCTACAACTTATGGGCATAGGAGACCACTTCCTACGTATAATCAGAGCAGCACAGGCATAATGGGCAACATTGAATAAATGAAACTGAGAAGCTTCTAAAGCATAGACACTGTCACTAAGACACAAAGGCAACCTACTGACTGGGAGAAGATCTCACCAACCCCGCAACAGACAAAGGTCTGATCTCCAAAATATATAGAAAACTCACGAAACTAGATTTTAAAATGCGAATTAACCCAATTAAAAAATGGGGCACTGAACTGAACAGAGAATTCTCAACAGAAGAAGTTCAAATGGCCAAAAGACACTTAAGGTCATGCTCAACCACCTTAGCGATCAGGGAAATGCAAATTAAAACAACTTTGAGATATCATCTTACACCTGTCAGAATGGCTAAAATAAAAAACTCCAATGATAGCCTCTGTTGGAGAGGCTGTGGAGGAAGGGGTTCCCTCATCCATTGCTGGTGGGAATGCAATCTTGTGCAACCACTTTGGAAAGCAGTGTTTCGGTTTCTCAGGAAATTCGGGATCAACTTACCCCTGGACCCAGCAATACCACTCCTGGGAATATACCCAAGAGATGCCCTATCATATGACAAGAGCATTTGTTCAACTATGTTCATAGCAGTATTATTTGTAATAGCCAGAACCTGGAAACAACCTAGATGTCCTTCAATGGAAGAATGGATGAAGAAAGTATGGAATATATACACAGTAGAGTACTACACTGCGGTAAAAAACAATGACTTCTCGAATTTTGCATGCAAATGGATGGAAATAGAAAACACTATCCTGAGTGAGGTAACCCAGACCCAAAAAGATGAACATGGGATGTACTCACTCATAATTGGTTTCTACCCATAATTAAGGGTCACGGAGTCTACAATTGGTGATCCTAAAGAAGCTAAGTAAGAAGTTGAACCAAAGGAAAAACATATAGTTATCCTCTTCGCTATGGGAAGCAGACAAAATTCCCGGGGAGAAAATTGAGATCCTGGGGGTGGGGTGGGATGGGGGTAAGGGGAGATGGGGAGAGAAAAGGGAGAAGGGGAGAATGGGGGGAACTTGGGGAAAAAAGAAGATAGGGATGAAGGAAGGTGGATAGGGGAGCACGGAAGCACAATTCTTAGTTAAGGGAGCCACCTTAGGGTTGGCAAGAGACTTGAACCTAGAGTGGCTCCCAGGAGCCCAAGGCGAGGTCCCCAGTTAGTTTCTTGGGCAGCTGAGGATAGGGAACCTGAAATGACCCTAGCCTATAGCAATACTGACGAATATCTTGCATATCATCATAGAACCTTCATCTGGAGATGGATGGAGATAGAGATAGAGACCCACACTGGAGCACTGGACTGAGCTCCCAAGGTCCCAATGAAAAGCAGAAGGAGGGAGAACATGAGTAAAGAAGTCGGGACCACGAGGGTTGCACCCACCCACTGAGACAGTGGAGCTGATCTATTGTGAGCTCACCAAGTCCAGCTGGACTGTGACTGAAAAAGCATGGGATAAAACCGGACTCTCTGAGCATGGCGAACAATGAGGGCTGATGAGACGCAAAGGACAATGGCACTGGGTTTTGATCCTGCTTAATGTGCTGGCTTTGTGGGAGCCTAGCCAGTTTGGATGTTCACCTTCCTAGATATGGACAGAGGGGGGAGGACCTAGGACTTACCACAGGGAAGGGAACCCTGACTGCTCTTTGGACTGGAGAGGGAGGGGGAGAGGAGTGGGATGAGGGGGAGGATGGAAGGAAGGAGAGAAGGGTGGGAGGAGGGGGAGGGAAATGGGAGGCTGGGAGGAGGTGGAAACTTTTTTTCCTTCCTTTTCTCAATAATAAAAAAAATGAAAAAAAAATTACACAGTATTTTCTAGCAAAATAAGGTAACTTATTATTAAAAGTTCCAATCTAACATAGCAATCATAGGTTTTTGGAACTGATACAGTAATAAATTTTTTTTCCAAATTTTTCACACTTCCTTCTTCAAAGACTATAAGAAAAACTTCTTCCAATTACTAAATTCTTTATACTTTTTCCACCATTATTCCTTCCAAAATTGCTTCAATAGATGGTTTTGTAATATAAAATCATCTATATCTTTACTACATAAATATATGTGTATCTTTTAAAAAAAGAATTCCTGACCAGATATCTAAATAAAATAGCTTACTGAAATTGTAGTAATAAAAATCTGTTACTGAAGTCACTAGATAAACCTGTAATTTTATTAAATTTTTACTATCTTAAGAAAATTTCTTACCTGTGCTGCCCAGATATTATTAAGATCCTGTAAAGTAAGAGCCTTTTCTTTAATGACAAAATGCAGAATCTTCTCTAGCTTTTCCACATACTGTAGCTGATGAAGACTATCTTGTAAGAGTATGGATAAGATATTATTTTGTTGTATCCACTACTAAATTTAAAACAGCACAAATATTGTTTAACTGTAGAAAATAAAAATATTCCAAAAACCAAAATAAAATTTTTCACTTATACAGATGACACAAGTGAAATCAATCTTTAATGCAGTTACTAAATATTAAAATAAGTAATTTTATAGAATTAAATTCTGCATGTAAAATGTACCCATTAAGATAACACAATTGCTGCCTTAATGGGTAATTACAAACTGCATGTAATTTAATTCTGAAATAAAGAGAAATTCCTCATCTATGAGCAGCAGTATCACATATTTTAGTTATAATGTATGAGCATAATGACTTTTATATTTCCAGTATGTTTTAGAACATTCTCTTGTAAAATGTATTCAAATACCTCATAAATGTCACATTAATTTATAACAAAAAATGCTTCTTCTTTTTTTTTTTAAATAATTTATTTTATTAAGAAAAGAAGAAAAAAAAACATAAACAAAAAACAAGTTTCCACCTCCTCCCAGCCTCCCATTTCCCTCCCCCTCCTCCCACCCTTCTCCCCCTCCTCCCACCCTTCTACCCCTCCCCCCACTCCTCTCCCCCTCCCTCTCCAGTCCACAGAGCAGTCCAGGTTCCCTGCCCTGTGGTAAGTCCTAGGTCCTCCCCCCTCCGTCCATATCTAGGAAGGTGAACATCCAAACTGGCTAGGCTTCCACAAAGCCAGCACATTAAGTAGGATCAAAACCCCGAGCCATTGTCCTTGGCGTCTCATCAGCCCGCATTGTTCGCCATGTTCAGAGAGTCCGGTTTTATCCCATGCTTTTTCGGTCACAGTCCAGCTGGCCTTGGTGAGCTCCCAGTAGATCAGCTCCACTGTCTCAGTGGGTGGGTGCACGCCTCGTGGTCCCGACTTCTTTGCTCATGTTCTCCCTCCTTCTGCTCCTCATTGGGACCTTGGGAGCTCAGTCCAGTGCTCCAGTGTGGGTCTGTCTCTGTCTCCATCCATCACCAGATGAAGGTTCTTAGCCAAGAGGATAACTATATGTTTTTCCTTGGGTTCACCTTCTTACTTAGCTTCTTTAGGTTCACCTATTGTAGACTCCGTGGCGCTAATTTATGGCTAGAAACCAATTATGAGCGAGTACATCCCATGTTCATCTTTTTGGGTCTGGGACACCTCACTCAGGATAGTGTTTTCTATTTCCATCCATTTGCCTGCAAAATTCGAGAAGTCATTGTTTTTTACCGCAGCGTAGTACTCTAGCGTGTATATATTCCATACTTTCTTCATCCATTCTTCCATTGAAGGGCATCTAGGTTGTTTCCAGGTTCTGGCTATTACAAATAATACAGCTATGAACATAGTTGAACAAATGCTTTTGTCATATGATAGAGCATCTCTTGGGTATATTCCCAGGAGTGGTATTGCTGGGTCCAGGGGTAAGTTGATCCCGAATTTCCTGAGAAACCGAAACACTGACTTCCACAGTGGTTGCACAAGATGGCATTCCCACCAGCAATGGATGAGGGTACCCGTTCCTCCACAGCCTCTCCAGCAAAGGTTATCCTTGGTGTTTTTGACTTTAGCCATTCTGACAGGTGTAAGATGATATCTCAAAGTTGTTTTGATTTGCATTTCCCTGATTGCTAAGGAAGTTGAGCACGACTTTAAGTGTCTTTTGGCCATTTGAACTTCCTCTGCTGAGAATTCTCTGTTCAGTTCAGTGCCCCATTTTTTAATTGGGTTAATTAGCATTTTAAAGTCTAGTTTCTTGAGTTCCTTATATATTTTGGAGATCAGACCTTTGTCTGTTGTGGGGTTGGTGAAGATCTTCTCCCAATCAGTAGGTTGCCTTTGTGTCTTATTGACTATGTCCTTTGCTTTACAGAAGCTTCTCAGTTTAAGTAGGTCCCATTTATTCAATGTTGCCCTTAATGTCTGTGCTTCTGGGGTTATACATAGGAAGCGATCTCCTGTGCCCAGCTCCTGTAGGGTACTTCCCACTTTCTCTTCTATCAGGTTCAGTGTGTTCGGGCTGATATTGAGGTCTTTAATCCATTTGGACTTGAGTTTTGTGCACGGTGATAGATAAGGGTCTATTTTCATTCTTCTACAAGATGACATCCAGTTGTGCCAGCACCATTTGTTGAAGATGCTTTCTTTCTTCCATTTTATACTTTTAGCTCCTTTATCGAAAATCAGGTGTTCATAGGTTTGTGGGATAAAATCCGGGTCTTCTATACGATTCCATTGGTCGACTTCTCTGTTTTTATGCCAGTACCACACTGTTTTCATTACTGTAGCTCTGTAATAGAGTTTGAAGTCAGGGATGGTAATGCCTCCAGAAGATCCTTTATTGTATAGGATTGTTTTGGGTATCCTGGGTTTTTTGTTTTTCCATATAAAGTTGATTATTGTCCTCTCCAGATCTGTGAAGAATTTTGATGGGATCTTGATGGGGATTGCATTGAATCTATAAATAGCCTTTGGTAGAATTGCCATTTTTACTATGTTGATCCTACCAATCCAAGAGCAAGGGAGGTCCATCCATTTTTTGGTATCCACTTCAATTTCTTTCTTCAATGCCTTAAAGTTCTTGTCAAATAGATCTTTCACTTCCTTGGTTAGATGTACCCCAAGATATTTTATGCTGTTTTTGGCTATTGTGAATGGTGAAGCTTCTCTGATTTCCCTCTCTGCTTCCATATCCTTTGTGTATAAGAGGGCGACTGATTTTTTGGAGTTGATCTTGTATCCTGCCACATTACTAAAGCTGTTTATCAGCTGTAGGAGTTCTTTGGTGGAGTTTTTGGGGTCGCTTATGTACACTATCATATCATCTGCAAATAACGAAAGTTTAACTTCTTCCTTTCCAATTCGAATCCCCTTGATTCCATTATGTTGTCTTATTGCTATTGCTAGAACTTCAAGCACTATATTGAAGAGGTATGGGGAGAGTGGACAGCCTTGTCGTGTTCCTGAGTTAAGTGGGATGGCTTTGAGTTTCTCTCCGTTTAATTTGATGTTAGCTGTCGGCTTGCTGTATATAGCTTTTATTATATTTAGGTATGACCCTTGTATCCCTAATCTCTCCAAGACTTTTAACATAAATGGATGTTGAATTTTGTCAAATGCTTTTTCAGCATCTAATGAAATGATCATATGGTTTTTTTCTTTCAGTTTATTTATATGCTGGATTACATTGATAGATTTTCGTATGTTGAACCAGCCCTGCATCTCAGGAATGAAGCCTACTTGATCATAATGGATAATTTTTCGGATGTGTTCTTGGATTCGATTTGCCAGTATTTTGTTGAGGATTTTTGCGTCGATATTCATGAGTGAGATTGGCCTGTAGTTCTCTTTCCTGGTTGAGTCTTTGAGTGGTTTTGGTATCAGAGTAATTGTGGCTTCATAAAAGGAGTTTGGTAATGACCCTTCTGTTTCTATCTTGTGGAATACATTAAGGAGTATAGGTATTAGATCTTCTTGGAAGATCTGGTAGAATTCCGCATTGAAACCATCTGGTCCTGGGCTTTTTTTGGTAGGGAGGTTTTTGATAACCTCTTCTAATTCTTCGCGACTAACAGGTCTATTTAGATTGTTCACCAGGTCCTGATTTAACTTTGGTATATGATATTTATCTAAAAAAGTATCCATTTCCTTTACATTTTGCAATTTTGTGGCATATAGGCTTTTGTAGTAAGATCTAATGATTCTCTGAATTTCCTCTGTGTCTGTGGTTATGTCCCCCTTTTCATTTCTGATCTTATTAATTTGCAAATTCTCTCTCTGCCGTTTGATTAGCTTGGATAGTGGTTTGTCAATCTTGTTGATTTTCTCCAGGAACCAGCTTTTTGTTTCATTGATTTTTTGTATTATTTTCTGTGTTTCTATTTTGTTGATTTCAGCCCTCATTTTGATTATTTCCAGTCTTCTACTCCTCCTAGGTGAGTCTGCTTCTTTTTTTTCTAGAGCTTTCAGGTGGGCTGTTAAGTCTCCAATGTGAGCTTTCTCTGTTTTCTTTAAGTGGGCATTTAGTGCTATGAACTTTCCTCTTAGGACTGCTTTCATAGTGTCCCATAAGTTTGAGTATGTTGTTTCTTTATTTTCATTGAATTCCAGGAAGACTTTAATTTCTTTCTTTATTTCTTCCTTAATCCAGCTATGGTTCAATAGTTGACTGTTCAGTTTCCATGACTTTGTATGCTTTCTGGGGGTAGCATTATTGTTGAATTCTAACTTTAATCCATGGTGATCTGATAAGACACAGGTGGTTACTAATATTTTTTTGTAACTGTGGATGTTTGCTTTGTTACCGACTATGTGGTCGATTTTCGAGAAGGTTCCATGAGCTGCAGAGAAGAAGGTATATTCTTTCCTATTTGGATGGAATGTTCTATAGATGTCTGTTAAGTCCATTTGATTCATTACCTCCACTAATTCTCTTATTTCTCTGTTAGGTTCCTGTTTGATTGACCTGTCCATTGGTGAGAGAGGAGTGTTGAAGTCTCCTACTATTAGTGTGTGCGGTTTGATGGCTGCCTTGAATTTTAGCAATGTTTCTTTTATGTACGTGGGTGCTTTTATATTAGGGGCATAGATGTTCAGGATTGAGACTTCATCCTGATGAACTGTTCCTGTTATGAGTATAAAATGCCCCTCTCCATCTCTTCTGATTGATTTAAGTTTAAAGTCAACTTTGTTAGAGATTAGTATGGCCACACCTGCCTGTTTCTTAGGTCCATTTGCTTGATAGGCCTTTTCCCAGCCCTTTACTCTGAGTAGGTGCCTGTCTTTGTGGTTGAGGTGTGTTTCTTGTAAACAGCAGAATGTTGGATCCTGTTTTCTTATCCAATCTCTTAGCCTGTGCCTTTTTATAGGTGAGTTGAGTCCATTGACATTAAGTGATATTAATGACCAGTGGTTGTTAACTCCGGTCATTTTTTTTTAGTCGTAGAGTTTGTGTGTTTCCCTTCTTTGTTTTGTGTTGGTGAAGGGTCTCTAGATGTCTGAGTTATTGTGGTCATTGTTGGACTCCTTGGTTAGTGATTTTCCTTCAATTACTTTCTGTAAGGCTGGATTTGTGGCTGCGTATTGTTTAAATTTGTTTTTATCCTGGAAAATTTTATTTTCTCCATTTATAGTGAATGAAAGCTTGGCTGGGTATAGTAATCTGGGCTTGCACCCATGGTCTCTCAGTTTCTGCAGTACATCTATCCAGGACCTTCTGGCTTTCATGGTTTCCATGGAGAAGTCAGGTGTAAGTCTGATAGGTTTACCTTTATAAGTAATTTGGCCTTTTTCCTTTGCAGCTCTTAATATTCTTTCCTTATTCTGTATGCTTTGTGTTTTGATAATTATATGGCGAGGGGATGTTTTTTTTTGATCCAGCCTATTCGGTGTTCTGTATGCTTCTTGCACCTTCATAGGAAAATCTTTCCTTAGGTTGGGAAAGTTTTCTTCTATAATTTTATTAAATAGATTTTCTGGACCATTGAGCTGCCCTTCTTCTCCTTCTTCTACTCCTATTATTCTTAGGTTTGGTCTCTTTATTGTGTCCCATATTTCCTGAATGTTTTGTGATGAGAGTTTGTTGGACTTGCTGTTTTCTTTGATCAGTGTGTTTATTTTCTCTATGGTATCTTCAGAATCCGAGAGTCTTTCTTCTATCTCTTGTATTCTGCTGGTTATGCTTGTTTCTGTAGTCTCTATTCGTTTACCTAGATTTTCCATGTCCAGACGGCCCTCTGTTTGTGTTTTCTTCTTTGCCTCCATTTCAGTTTTCAGGTCTTGAACTGTTTCCATTATCTGTTTGATTGTTTTTCCTTGGTTTTCTAGGGTATCATTCACTGATTTATTCAATTCTTCAAACTTTCTGTTATATTTCTCATCCATTTCTATAAGGGCGTTTTTTACATGCTGTTTAAGGGTGTCAATCACTTTCATGAAGTCAATCTTTTCTCCTTCCTCTTGATTAAGGGGTTCTTGTCCTCCCGTTGTGGGGTCGCTTGTTTCTGGTAGCTTCATGTTGCTTTTCAGCTTGTTGGGCGAATTCTTGCCTTGACGTCGGCCCATCTCTTCTTCCAAATGCTCCCTATGGATCTTCTTTTACCGGATTAGGTCTCCTTGCCTACCAAACGCTGTCTCTCCCCAATGTTGGCTCTCCCAATGCTGGGTCTCCTGGCGCCGAAAGATCAGGCCTCCGTGCTGGTTGGGCAGCTCGCAGACAAAGCGCCTACCCCGCTTGGTGCAGGCAGGCCACAGAAACAAAGGAACTGCTGCCCCCCCGGGAGCCCCGGGTACTCGGACTCAGCGCCCAGATAGGCTGGGCTGGGCGATGCCACGCGCCAAAAGAGGGCAGTGGGGGCGAAGTGGGGAGGGCTCTGGACGGAAGCTGGGTGGGCCAGGAAGAAAGAGGCAGCACCCGGGGAGTAGAGGCCCTGCAGAGAGCCCAAGCAGGACAGGGGGCCAAGAAACCCCCGAGCTCCCCGTCCCAGGCTGGCGCCGTGGGCCAGAAACTCACCCCAATGCTGGGTCTCCTGGCGCCGAAAGATCAGGCCTCCGTGCTGGTTGGGCAGCTCGCAGACAAAGCGCCTACCCCGCTTGGTGCAGGCAGGCCACAGAAACAAAGGAACTGCTGCCCGCCCGGGAGCCCCGGGTACTCGGACCCAGCGCCCAGATAGGCTGCGCTGGGCGATGCCACGCGCCAAAAGAGGGTAGTGGGGGCGAAGTGGGGAGGGCTCTGGACTGAAGCTGGGTGGGCCAGGAAGAAAGAGGCAGCACCCGGGGAGTAGAGGCCCTGCAGAGAGCCCAAGCAGGACAGGGGGCCAAGAAACCCCCGAGCTCCCCGTCCCAGGCTGGCGCCGTGGGCCAGAAACTCACCCCAATGCTGGGTCTCCTGGCGCCGAAAGATCAGGCCTCCGTGCTGGTTGGGCAGCTCGCAGACAAAGCGCCTACCCCGCTTGGTGCAGGCAGGCCACAGAAACAAAGGAACTGCTGCCCGCCCGGGAGCCCCGGGTACTCGGACCCAGCGCCCAGATAGGCTGCGCTGGGCGATGCCACGCGCCAAAAGAGGGTAGTGGGGGCGAAGTGGGGAGGGCTCTGGACGGAAGCTGGGTGGGCCAGGAAGAAAGAGGCAGCACCCGGGGAGTAGAGGCCCTGCAGAGAGCCCAAGCAGGACAGGGGGCCAAGAAACCCCCGAGCTCCCCGTCCCAGGCTGGCGCCGTGGGCCAGAAACTCACCCCAATGCTGGGTCTCCTGGCGCCGAAAGATCAGGCCTCCGTGCTGGTTGGGCAGCTCGCAGACAAAGCGCCTACCTGGCTTGGTGCAGGCAGGCCACAGAAACAAAGGAACTGCTGCCCGCCCGGGAGCCCCGGGTACTCGGACCCAGCGCCCAGATAGGCTGCGCTGGGCGATGCCACGCGCCAAAAGAGGGTAGTGGGGGCGAAGTGGGGAGGGCTCTGGACGGAAGCTGGGTGGGCCAGGAAGAAAGAGGCAGCACCCGGGGAGTAGAGGCCCTGCAGAGAGCCCAAGCAGGACAGGGGGCCAAGAAACCCCCGAGCTCCCCGTCCCAGGCTGGCGCCGTGGGCCAGAAACTCACCCCAATGCTGGGTCTCCTGGCGCCGAAAGATCAGGCCTCCGTGCTGGTTGGGCAGCTCGCAGACAAAGCGCCTACCTGGCTTGGTGCAGGCAGGCCACAGAAACAAAGGAACTGCTGCCCGCCCGGGAGCCCCGGGTACTCGGACCCAGCGCCCAGATAGGCTGCGCTGGGCGATGCCACGCGCCAAAAGAGGGTAGTGGGGGCGAAGTGGGGAGGGCTCTGGACGGAAGCTGGGTGGGCCAGGAAGAAAGAGGCAGCACCCGGGGAGTAGAGGCCCTGCAGAGAGCCCAAGCAGGACAGGGGGCCAAGAAACCCCCGAGCTCCCCGTCCCAGGCTGGCGCCGTGGGCCAGAAACTCACCCCAATGCTGGGTCTCCTGGCGCCGAAAGATCAGGCCTCCGTGCTGGTTGGGCAGCTCGCAGACAAAGCGCCTACCCCGCTTGGTGCAGGCAGGCCACAGAAACAAAGGAACTGCTGCCCGCCCGGGAGCCCCGGGTACTCGGACCCAGCGCCCAGATAGGCTGCGCTGGGCGATGCCACGCGCCAAAAGAGGGTAGTGGGGGCGAAGTGGGGAGGGCTCTGGACGGAAGCTGGGTGGGCCAGGAAGAAAGAGGCAGCACCCGGGGAGTAGAGGCCCTGCAGAGAGCCCAAGCAGGACAGGGGGCCAAGAAACCCCCGAGCTCCCCGTCCCAGGCTGGCGCCGTGGGCCAGAAACTCACCCCAATGCTGGGTCTCCTGGCGCCGAAAGATCAGGCCTCCGTGCTGGTTGGGCAGCTCGCAGACAAAGCGCCTACCCGGCTTGGTGCAGGCAGGCCACAGAAACAAAGGAACTGCTGCCCGCCCGGGAGCCCCGGGTACTCGGACCCAGCGCCCAGATAGGCTGCGCTGGGCGATGCCACGCGCCAAAAGAGGGTAGTGGGGGCGAAGTGGGGAGGGCTCTGGACGGAAGCTGGGTGGGCCAGGAAGAAAGAGGCAGCACCCGGGGAGTAGAGGCCCTGCAGAGAGCCCAAGCAGGACAGGGGGCCAAGAAACCCCCGAGCTCCCCGTCCCAGGCTGGCGCCGTGGGCCAGAAACTCACCCCAATGCTGGGTCTCCTGGCGCCGAAAGATCAGGCCTCCGTGCTGGTTGGGCAGCTCGCAGACAAAGCGCCTACCCCGCTTGGTGCAGGCAGGCCACAGAAACAAAGGAACTGCTGCCCGCCCGGGAGCCCCGGGTACTCGGACCCAGCGCCCAGATAGGCTGCGCTGGGCCAAAATGCTTCTTCTTTTGCATTGTTGAGAGATGCTAATTTAATTTATCGATATAAACATAAAATCTGAGCTTAAATAAATCCTTAGTCAAAGTCTTTGTCTTAGGTATATACTATTTTCACAACAGTTAAGAAAAAAAAGCCCTCAAAGTTCTGAGTCAATCTGGTAATTAAGACTCTTGTAAGACAATGATTATTCTTCACAAATATGTATAAACAGTACTCATATTAAATTATAATTCAAGTTTTTATAACTGCTATTCACTTCAAATTAAAATGTTTTAAGTGATTCCATAGAATACTCATTCACTAGATTCCAGAAGTTTTCTCTTTAATTTAAACAAGTCACCTATATTCAGTACACATTCACAAAAGATACAGTAAGTTACTTAACGTTCTTACCAATCCATTGTTTATCAACTTAAAAAGTTCAGCAGTTTTAATTTTAAGAGTTTACTTATTTGTGTATACAGTGTGTTTTTATCATATGTTAGTGAACCATGTGTATATTATGTTTGAAGCATTCCCTGGTTGTCTAAAAGAGGGTGTGTGATTCCCTCAAATTAGAATTAGAGATATTTGCGGCAACTGGAAACCAATGGCTCTGGAAGCACAACAAATGTGCTCGAAGCCATTAAGTCATCTCTCCAGGCCTTATTATTTTTTTGTTTTGTGGTAGAAGTAATAAACACTTGGAGTTTGCTGCCAAGTTTGGTCATTAGATCCCAGATTGACAGGCAGAAAACTGAGTCTCATAAACTGTCCTCAGAAATTCCAGCCCTATACACAAAAAAATAAAGAGGCAAGTATGTTTCGATTATATAAAAAAATGGAGCTTACTGCCATTTGTTCAGCGGTTAGCCATTCTTCCTCAGAATTACCATGTTGATGTGTATAATATGATACACTTGACAGCATCTTGTTAATTTCATTCAGTGCATTCATCTTTCCATTAAAAGAAGAAATCTGCAGCAATCTATAAAAATTGTAATCAATAATAATTTTTCATGATCCATAGGAATAGCAAAGGGCTAGTGCCACATGCATAACACAAAAGCAACTCTAAAGACTGAAGTGGGAGTATCACAAAATGAAAGCCAGGGTTACACAGTGAATTCATAGCCAGCATAGACTGTTACAACCCCAAAACAAACAATAAAAACCCAAATCCAAACAAACCATTTTTTTTCAAATTGGTAAAATGGCTGCCTATCATACAGGATCCTAAATTCAATATGCAATCACCGAATAGGCAACAACATAAATCACAGTAACAGTAACTATAGGTAAAAAGTATCTCACCTGAGTATCATTTTTAACCTAAGAATGTCTAAATTTCTAATAGTTTCTTCTTGTCCTGGAATTCTTGAGGCTAAACTCTTTAGAGATTTAATAATCATTGAAATGGCATCATTTTTCACTTCACTCTTTGCTTCTCATTTCAGTTCTTCATTAGTTATTTTTTGTAATAATTGTGGAACTACCTCAATAACTGGGATGAAGTACTTTCTTAAAGTGTGTTGAGTGAGAAACTCATAGCACTGTCCAAAAGGCCTGAAAAGAGGGAACACAAAACTTTAATATCCAATTTTTCTTCTACAGTCTAGTTTTCAAATTAGTTTCAATACGTACAAGCAAATCATGCTAAATTCAGAAAAAAAACATTTAAGAATTAAAACTCAATTATTTCCAAGTAAATAAGAGCAACTTGTATATTATGCTGAAAATATCTTAAAATATAACTTACTTAATTAGAGCTGAAATTGTTTGAATTGTTAATGCTGATCCAGTAATGAAACGATCATGCAAAATCTGGAAACCATCTAATGTGCCAAATGTGTTAATAAGATCCACTAACCAACCCTGTAAGTGAATGATAAGCATTAAATTACTTCTTTAAGAAATTACTACCTAAAATTTATGTTTTAAAACAGACAATATATAATTATAAGCCAAACACTGTTATAAAATCACACATATATGATTTACTTGTTTAGGAAGACCCTTTAAGAGTGACTGTTTCTTTTTATATTTTTGCTCAGAAAGAGTTAACTTTTTAAATTGCATATATATTACGAGCAAAATATTGGGCTTTGATCAGCTAACATTTTCTACATTTAAGAAGTAAGTTTTAGCTGGTCGGTGGTGGCACATGCCTTTAACCTAAGCACTCGGGAAGAAGAGGTAGACAGATAGATCTCTGTGAGTTTGAGACCAGCCTGGTCTACAAGAGCTAATTCCAGGCTCCAAAGTTACAGAGAAACTCTGTCTCAAAAAACAAACAAACAGTTCCTGCTTCTACACTGAAGAGATATACCCAGAGAGTCAATCACAGCAAAGGCTGGACCAAGAGACCAGGCCTCTCCTGGCTCCATTTGAAGGAAGAGATGGGAAGGCGCCAATACAAGAACTCCTCCAACAACCTGAAAGGCAACATGACACCACCAGAAACCAGGGATCCCGAAATAAGAAGAATTGTACACCCTATTCCTGAAGAAATAGAAGAAATCGACTCAAAAGTGAACTATATGAAAATAATAGAGGACCTTAAACAGGAGGTGAAAACTGCCATAAACAATAAGAGATTACAAACAAAAAGGTAGAGGAAATCGCTCAAAGACACGCAAGAAAACCAAGAGAAACAAGAAAAAGCAATCAAACAGGTTAGGAAAGCGGTTCAAGACATGAAGAATGAAATGGAAGCAATGAAGAAAGCACAAACCGAGGGAAGAATGGAGATGGAAAATCTGGGTAAACGAACAGGAACGACAGAGACAAGTACTAACAACAGATTACAAGAGATAGAAGAGAGAATATCAGACACTGAAGACACCATAGAGAAAATAAACACACTGATCAAAGAAAACAGCAAAACAAACAAATTCTCATCACAAAACATTCAGGAAATTTGGGACAAAATAAAAAGACCAAACCTAAGAATAATTGGAGTAGAAAAACGAGAAGAAGTGCAGCTCAACGGTACAGAAAATATACTTAATAAAATTATAGAAGAAAACTTTCCCAACCTGAAGAAAGAGGTACCTATGAAGGTTCAAGAAGCATACAGAACACCAAATAGGCTGGATCAAAAAAAAAAAACATCCCGCCGGGCGATGGTGGCGCACGCCTTTAATCCCAGCACTCGGGAGGCAGAGGCAGGCGGATCTCTGTGAGTTCGAGACCAGCCTGGTCTACAGAGCGAGTTCCAGGACAGGCTCCAAAGCCACAGAGAAACCCTGTCTCAAAAAAAAAAAACATCCCCTCGCCATATAATAATCAAAACACAAAATATACAGAATAAAGAAAGAATATTAAGAGCCGCAAAGGAAAAAGGCCAAGTTACTTATAAAGGTAAACCTATCAGACTTACACCTGACTTCTCTGTGGAAACCATGAAAGCCAGAAGGTCCTGGATAGATGTACTGCAAAAACTAAGAGATCATGGATGCAAGCCCAGACTACTATTTCCAGCCAAGCTTTCGTTCACTATAAATGGAGAAAACAAAATTTTCCAGGATAAAAACAAATTTAAACAATACGTAGCCACAAATCCAGCCTTACAGAAAATTATAGAAGGAAAATCACTAACCAAGGAGTCCAACAATGCCCACAATAACTCAGTCATCTAGAGACCTTTCACCAGCGCAACTCAAAGAAGGGAAACACACAAACCCTACTACTAAAAAAGTGACCGGAGTTAACAACCACTGGTCATTAATATCACTTAATGTCAATGGGCTCAACTCACCTATAAAAAGGCACAGGCTAAGGGATTGGATACGAAAACAGGATCCAACATTCTGCTGTCTACAAGAAACACACCTCAACCAGAAAGACAGGCACCTACTCAGAGTAAAGGGCTGGGAAAAGACTTATCAAGCAAATGGACCTAAGAAACAAGCACCTGTGGCCATCCTAATTTCTAACAAAGTTGACTTCAAACTTAAATCAATCAGAAGAGATGGAGAGGGGCATTTTATACTCATAACAGGAACAATTCATCAGGATAAAGTCTCAATCCTGAAAATCTACGCCCCTAATATAAAAGCGCCCACGTATGTAAAAGAAACATTACTAAAACTCAAGGCAGCCATCAAACCACACACACTAATAGTAAGAGACTTCAACACTCCTCTCTCACCAATGGACAGGTCAATCAAACAGAAACCTAACAGAGAAATTAGAGAATTAATGGAGGTAATGAAGCAAATTGACTTAACAGACATCTATAGATTATTCCACCCAAAGAGGAAAGAATATACCTTCTTCTCTGCAGCTCATGGAACCTTCTCAAAAATTGACCACATACTTGGTAACAAAGCGAACTTACACAGTTACAAAAAAATATTAGTAACCACCTGTGTCTTATCAGATCACCATGGATTAAAGTTAGAATTCAACAACAATGCTACCCCCAGAAAGCCTACAAACTCATGGAAACTGAACAGTCAACTACTGAACCATACCTGGATTAAGGAAGAAATTAAGAAAGAAATTAAAGTCTTCCTTGAATTCAATGAAAATAAAGAAACAACATACTCAAACTTATGGGACACTATGAAAGCAGTCCTAAGAGGAAATTTCATAGCACTAAGTGCCCACTTAAAGAAAACAGAGAAAGCTCATATTGAAGACCTAACAGCCCACCTGGAAGCTCTAGAAAATAAAGAAGCAGACTCACCTAGGAGGAGTAGAAGACTGGAAATAATCAAACTGAGGGCTGAAATCAACAAAGTAGAAACACAGAAAACAATCCAAAGAATCAATGAAACAAAAAGCTGGTTCCTGGAGAAAATCAACAAGATTGATAAACCCCTATCCAAACTAATCAAACGGCAGAGAGAGAATACGCAAACTAATAAGATCAGAAATGAAAAGGGGGACATAACCACAGACACAGAGGAAATTCAGAGAATCATCAGATCTTATTACAAAAGCCTGTATAACACAAAACTGGAAAATGTAAAAGAAATGGACACTTTTTTAGATAAATACCATATACCAAAGTTACACCAGGACCAGGTGAACAATCTAAACAGACCTGTTGGTCGCGAAGAATTAGAAGCTGTTATCAAAAACCTCCCTACCAAAAAAAGCCCAGGACCAGATGGTTTCAATGAGGAATTCTACCAGAACTTCATGAAGATCTAATACCTATACTCCTTAATGTATTCCACAATATAGAAACAGAAGGGTCATTACCTAATTCCTTTTATGAAGCTACAGTTACTCTGATACCAAAACCACACAAAGACTCAACCAGAAAAGAGAATTACAGGCCAATCTCACTCATGAACATCGACGCAAAAATCCTCAACAAAATACTGGCAATCCGAATCCAAGAACACATCCGAAATATTATCCATTATGATCAAGTAGGCTTCATTCCTGAGATGCAGGGCTGGTTCAACATACGAAAATCTATCAATGTAATCCAGCATATAAATAAACTGAAAGAAAATAAGCATATGATCATCTCATTAGATGCTGAAAAAGCATTCGACAAAATTCAACATCCATTTATGTTAAAAGTCTTGGAGAGATTAGGGATACAAGGGTCATACCTAAATATAATAAAAGCTATATACACCAAGCCGACAGCTAACATCAAATTAAACAGAGAGAAACTCAAAGCCATCCCGCTTAACTCAGGAACACAACAAGGATGTCCACTCTCGCCATACCTCTTCAATATAGTACTTGAAGTTCTAGCAATAGCAATAAGACATCATAATGGGATCAAGGGGATTCGAATTGGAAAGGAAGAAGTTAAACTTTCGTGATTCGCAGATGATATGATAGTTTACATAAGCGACCCCCAAAACTCCTCCAAAGAACTTTTACAGCTGTTAAACACCTTTAGTAATGTGGCAGGATACAAAATCAACTCCAAAAAATCAGTCGCCCTCTTATACACAAAGGATAGGGTAGGGAAGCAGAGAGGAAAATCAGAGAAGCTTCACCATTCACGATAGCCACAAACAGCATAAAATATCTTGGGGTAAATCTAATTAAGGAAGTGAAAGATCTATTTGACAAGAACTTTAAGGCATTGAAGAAAGAAATTGAAGAGGATACCAAAAAATGGATGGATCTACCTTGCTCTTGGATTGGGAGGATCAACATAGTAAAAATGGCAATTCTACCAAAGGCAATTTATAGATTCAATGCAATCCCCATCAAGATCCCATCAAAATTCTTCACAGATCTGGAGAGGACAATAATCAACTTTATATGGAAAAACAAAAAAACCCAGGATAGCCAAAACAATCCTATACAATAAAGGATCTTCTGGAGGCATTACCATCCCTGACTTCAAACTCTATTACAGAGCTACAGTAATGAAAACAGTGTGGTACTGGCATAAAAACAGAGAAGTCGACCAATGGAATCGTATAGAAGACCCGGATTTTAACCCACAAACCTATGAACACCTCATTTTTGATAAAGGAGCCAAAAGTATACAATGGAAGAAAGAAAGCATCTTCAACAAATGGTGCTGGCACATCTGGATGTCAACCTGTAGAAGAATGAAAATAGACCCACATCTTTCACCAGGCACAAAACTCAAGTCCAAATGGATTAAAGACCTCAATATCAGCCCGAACACACTGAACCTGATAGAAGAGAAAGTGGGAAACACCCTAGAACAGATGGGCACAGGAGATCGCTTCCTATGTATAACCCCAGAAGCACAGACATTAAGGGCAACATTGAATAAATGGGACCTACTAAAACTGAGAGTCTTCTGCAAAGCAAAGGACACTGTCACTAAGACACAAAGGCAACCTACTGACTGGGAGAAGATCTTTACCAACCCCGCAACTGACAAAGGTCTGATATCCAAAATATATAGAGAACTC